GGGTTAGGGTTGCTTGGGTGGGTGGGTGGGTGGGTAAAGGAGTATAATGGGGGCAGATAAAGAGAATAGGAAAGATAGGCCCATGTGGGTGGCAGGGAGGTCAAACAAATGTTCTGTTTAGTTCGGACTGTGCCCAAGGCCCCCGTAGCAGCTGGAGTCCCATACTCAACATGGGGCCTCGTGCGGCCTTGTCTCTCCAGGAGAGCGTGGAACAGGATGAGGTATGCCAGAGAGGCCCAGCTTATTATTACCACTAACCAGACGCCCCCCCCCGGAGCACCCTGCTGAAGGTTCCCTCTCCCTGCTTTGGTCAAGACAAGCTCTTTGAAACAATTATTTATTTTCTTGCCACCACAATGCTCTGGGAGTTGTCACGTGGTTGCTAGGGCGTTCTGGGTCGTTGCTATGGGTTTACGTCAAATCAAAAGAGCCCATCATCAAGTCTTTTTGATGATCTGGTAGGGTATATTAAAAGAGATATTAAAATTCTATTCTATTTTTTTAAGTCTCTACAGTAAAAATAGTAATATTGTGAAATATTATTACTACTTCTAACTGTTTTCTATTTTAATATATTTTAAAATATAATTTATTACCATTTTCAGCAGTCATTACTCCAATCTTCAGTGTCACATGTCATGATCCTTCAGAAATCAGTCTAATATGCTTATTTGATGCTCAACAAACATTTCTTGTTATTATAAATGCTGCAAACTCTTGTGTTTGATAGTTTTGTGGAAACTGTGATAATTCTTTGATTAATAGAAAGTTCAAAAGAATAGCATTTATTTGAAATGGAAATCTTTCGTAGCATTTTAGATGTCTTTACCGTCACCTTTGATCAATTTAATGCACCCTTGCTAAATAAAACATTTGAATGGTAGTGTAGACCAATACAATAACTAGAAAAAAATGGATATCTATTTAATCAGCTGATGCACCATGTATCCCTAAATTCAGTTTTTTTTTTCTAGATGCTCGGGTCTCTCTATCAGTGTCAAGGTAAATCTATGGTGTATTTTAGAGCATTTTATATCAAAAAAGTACACTTTTTCTCAATGAACCACACAATTTGAGGTATCGCCCATATCTGTAGCATCAACAGTGCTAGAAATGATAATCACAACTATAGTGATACCCCTGGCAAAATAAGACCACACACAGAGTGGGTCATGCCTACCTCTGCAGTCTGGGAAAGCACTCGCCCATGAAGTCTCCGTAGCGTTAGACAAGGGTCAGAAGTCGCCAAGCGAGAGCATGGCTGAGCTCTGCCTCCTCCTTTACAGACTAGCTCAAAATGGCCTCATGTCATTCTCAGTTCTTCTTTTCAATTCAAAAAGCTCTCTGTACCTCAAACTGCAGCTGCGTACGCCGCAGCCACAGCTCGCAGCTTGAAATTCTATTAGACAATCTTGCCATGGTCTACAGCCCTGCTTTTGAGTAATGAAGTCATTCACACCATTTGACGGTGATGTGCTGGCAAATGAAAGCGTGATATGGGATTGATGGGAGCATTTCACACAGAGAGATGAGCCTGGTGGGGAGCAAAATCGTGCAAATCTGTGATTGCGTGCATCATGCCGCTCTCCACGCTGATTCCCAGCGGTATATAACGAGACCTCGTACCGTGCACATGGCGAGTGATCTACGCCACTGTGACTGCAGCCTGGGAATGATACAAGTGGATGTGACAACACTTGCCTTGTCCCAACACATGCACATGCACATGCAAATGGGCCAAAACAAGGGCCTGCCGCACGTCATCCAGAGGCGCCGAGAGGGAGGGAGTGTTACTCAGTACTCAAGACTTCAGTAAGCAAACACTCTCCAGGGTGGGGCTCACATGGAATCACTCCATGACTGAGGTCTGTCAAGAATACACGCTCAGCAAAAAAGGTAAAACTATGATGTGTACATGAAAAACGTCCGTTCAAGTCTCTAATTGCCCTGATGCAGCAGCTCGTACAGGTCTGGCAAAGCGCCTAGTCTGTGTTGTCAAAACAAGTAAAGATATAGCAAGACGCTGACTAAAATGTTAAATGGAATAACCAGTTTTGAGGGGAGAATGATTACGAACAAATACATCTTACCCTGTTGACCCTGTCGACCCACCCGCCCCTGTAGAGTCCTCAGCTGAGCTCAGTGTTGACCATGAAAGGAGGTAATTTAAGCCAACCGAATGACTAAGCCATGAGTCACCCTGCAATGGAATTTAATCACAGAGCAAGCGAATTCAAACATGAATGATCAACTAATGTAGGTGAGTGGTTTGATGGGAACGCTCATGGATTCAAGATGTGGTATGATCATGAGATGCCATATTCTGATGTCGTCACAGGGATGGATGGAGATGGAGAGGGCGAAGTCATCTCTAGTTACACTGTGGGGAGTGATGTCATGGCAATAATGATGTCAACGCATTTGAGAAAAACTTGCCTAGAGTGCCTCTCAAAATAGCTTGGGATACTAGGGCTTTCGGAGAGATACTGACTAAGGGAAAGCGAGAGGAATGTGAAGCTCTTTTCCTGCTTGGTCAGGAAGGAGGACTGGCATTCCTGGCATTTCAGAACATGCCAGTCTCGAGAGTTTCAGCAAAACCACACTCCACAATGCTGGCTCCACCATATAAATATGACATAAAAACACCCCCAGTGAGCTAGTGAACATTTATGTGTGTCTTGTGAGACATCTGAAGGCTTGTTCCCACCTTTCGATCAATATGGAGGACAAAGCCTCTTTCAACAGGGTCATCTGCTTGACTCAGCAGAACATGGGTGTTTTTAGCTTAGTTCCTGTGAGGATATGACACTTCAACTCAAGTAAAGTCCTGTAATGCTGCGATAATAAACTTAGGGCCGTCAGAGGGACATAAACAAACTCATCTATTCAACTATAATATGGTCACGATCGTTTAAACAGCCCTGACAGAAGCTACTATCCTGCTACAGCTTTATGTCCAAGTGATACCAATTTTATCAAATTTTCAATTGAGTTGTTTCAATTGTTAAAAATAAAAATTTTTACTAACATGCTAACACTCTTCTTTTGAAAGATTAAATATTAATACACACT